AAGCACCTATTTTTAGGCTACGTAGGTATAGTCATGACCCATGGAAACGATGGGGCGTGTGATAGGACCTTTATTGGATCGCATCCAAGACAGCTTTTTCCACCAATAATGCCAACCTGAGTCCGCAATGGGGATTGAGACAGTGAGGTCTACGGACAACTTGAACTCAATTCCTTTGAACGCGTCGATGTTCTCTTTTTCTCTGCACTCTCTCGTCCGCATGGCACTCTATGGCCGTTGTGACTTCGCACATTCCAGTTTTCACCGATTATAAGTAGCTCACCCAGCCCGGAGTGCCCTCCTGAAAAAAGCCTGTCTCCTGGCCCGCCATATATTTCTTGCACGTTTCGATGCTTTGGCAGCCGCTGTGCTCTATCCGTCTGCCTTACAGGGTTTCGTAACAGGACCATTCACGAAAGTTCTAACTTCCGCTTAGCTAAAAAAATCACCCAGGTCCGTGATCGGGTGAAAATTCATGGAGCTGTTCAACGCAAATCGGTGTTATTGCAGTGAACATAATTTTCCCATTGTGCAGATAGCATTTCTCACAAGTGTTCTCAGGTGACCCGCAAACCAAGTGATTAATCGTCCAAAGGTATGCTTTCCCACGTTACGTCGCCAATTGGATCCATTTCGTAGTTGCTGCAGCTACTGGTATCTGAAAAGAGTGAATTTGATGAGAAAAGGGTCTTCGATTGAAGAGGTAGTCAAAAGAACGCTTGGCAGAACGATTAGGTCGGGACGGTCAGATCTATTATACCGCAAAACAGGTGGGGAGCGAAAAATATCAAAACCTATCCCCTTGGGGGCTTTCCTTGCTCTTCTTTACTGTGCTCTCCGAGTAGTTCAGTCTCCACTTTTGGGCTTTGAATGCCTCACCCCAAGGATCTAAATGAAGGCTTCGTGCTGCCGAGGCCCACATCTGACGTTACGCATGTTTTTCCCAGGGGGGTCCTTTTAGTCGGCACGATCAGAACCTCCTATGTCATAGACGGTGTCAATGGCTAGTTTTCTCTGCGTAACGTACTCCATATGGGTGTTCGACTGACGTCGAGGTACGGGTCAGGATATCTACGCCTAAACACTAAATAGTATTCCCCAGCCAATCGGCTCCACATACTGCAGCAATTCCTTCGGGTCTCTCTTGAGGCGAGTTCGGTGCACATGGCCGCCCTTGCAATGTCTTCCCGCAGCATCGTGGATCTCCTTGCTCACCTCGCGACGCCAACACTGGGCGGAAGGAGGTGTAGGGATGCAGCCAAATCCTGGATGATGTCGCTCAGTCAGAAAAGCTGTAGTCACTACTTCAAAGGAGTATGCTGTACTTGGAAGCGGAATCTAAGCTGACGGTGAGAGGTAGAGCCGGCCGTCGCACGATGTCCTCATTGGCACCTCTTCTGTGGCATACGGAATGGGGATCTAATGAGAACGTTTTTTTACTGTCCTCAGAAGCAAGATTTCTGCATTACTGCGCCACACTCGGACAAGTACGTGAGGAATGTCTGGAATAATTCTATGTTATGTCCTATCTGTTCAGAATTCGAATTATTAAGTTTACTGAGAGTACGATAGGTGACAAAGAAATTCATAGCCCAAACAGTCCAGTTTTCACGACAGCTTTGCAAGGAAAAGCCAGGGTTTTACGTTATCTATTCTCCCTGAAATAT